ATCTAAAAAATGAAGTGTCCAGTTTATTTTGGCCAGGGGGATATATGGACAGAAATCTAGTGATAGTAATTATTATTGTTGTTGCGTTCCCAAATAAACTTAAAAAGTGTACTAGACGCTCGCCAAATGACTTTGAACATTACATGCACTTTTTCGATTTCTTTATATTATTCATGCAAAATTCCTTATTAGTCATAAACTTTCCATGTTATATGTATGTAAACTAATCTTTGAGAGCGTTTGTGTCGTTTGTACTTATGAAAAGGCTTTTCCGCATTTGAAAATCCTATCGAACACAAACTCCAATCGATATTAGATTATTTTCACATAACATAATATTACTAACCAATGGTGAAGGTTTCATTAGTAGCTAGTCTCTTAGTTCTTAATTTCTTCGTTCAGCTTTTTCTCTCTCTCTATTTTGCTGTAGCGTATATCATGGTTTTTGCCTTTTAAGAGTCTTTTTTTACGTTTCCTCAGCATTTATACTCGCTTTAACATTTTCAATAAATACTTAAAACTAAATACGGCAAAGTTATGTGAATTTATCGAGATGATTGTTTTCCAAGCTGTTGACCCTAGTACTACCGGCTTGAGTGATTTTTACCCGAACTCAAAAGCTTCAAAATATACTGGAAAGATTTATGTTTTCCTGGGTTTTGGAAGCAACTAGGACCCCTTACTAATAGATATACATATATATATGTTGTTGAACCTAAAAGAAATTCACTTTTTTCTATACCATTATACACCTTTAATAAGATATAATGGCCTCATTAATCAATAAATATGAAACAAGAACAACATGCCAGTCAACTTTTAATGCACAATTGAATGAATCAGAGTAGCTGCCTAATTCGAGTTCGAATATAAATGAAAATATCGGGCGCACACCCCCTTTTTCATAGCTGCAGCAACAGATAAAATTTTCTTCGAATTCGAACTTATAATTCGATGAAGGCACCCATATAAATGCGGCAAAAAAAGCAAAAGACAAATTTTTATTTGAATTCGAATTTATAATTGAACTAAGGCACCCATATAACTACGGCAAAAAAAAGTAAAAGATAAATTTTTATTCGAATTCGAATTTATAATTGAACTAAGACAACCATATAACTACGGCCAAAAAAGTAAAAGATAAATTTTTATTTAAATTCGAATTTATAATTGAACTAAGACACCCATATAACTACGGCAAAAAAGAGCAATACATTAGTTCTTTACGTGGTCCGAGTCCAAGTTTCCGAAAAATATGCGACACACTATTTAGAATTTTCGAGGAAGATAACCTCTGTTGCAAAAGTCTTTAGACAAAATGTGTATTCATTTTTCAGCCGCCTGAACGTCATTAATGAGAATCAAAAGTAGTTAGCTAAAATCAGATTTTTGTGCTCTTTTCGAATATCTGATCAGAATATTTCACTGACTCAATATTGATTAGGGACAAGCCAAATGCTTGACAGAGTCGAAAATGATGTTCGTACAGAATTTTATTGGATGTATTTTTGTATTTTGATCGATATCTACTCTACGCAAAACATGAAAGATATTTTCATCAGCCAATTTTATAGAGCGAAGTTTGCTCTACAAACTATGCTATTTAGTTTGATTTTCTATCTCGAAACAAATACATGCAATCTGTTGTATTATAAATAGAAGATCTTGGAAAACTGACTTTTTGGCAGGATTCTATTTTACGTACCAATCAGTTCTCAGAAAAACGTCTACAACCTTTTATTCATTTGAATTGAAGCCTATTGTCATGTATGGTTTTATAGAGAATTGAATGCTCTACAAATTGCAAATTTCGAACTGCTTCAAAATCCAACTTCCATAAGTAATAAATAGCGGGAAAACATGTGTTTTCTTTGTCGAGATGTCATTCTTCGCCTCCTTCAAGTATTAACTTACAGCTACCTAATCTTAAGCTAAAGAGATATCCTGAACACATATCAGAAAAGAGCAGATAAGACTGACTCTAAGGATCTACTTTTGGTTCGTATCAAATACTTTTAGCGGCTGAAAGATGAACAAATATTTGCAGAATGACTTTTTGTACAGACATCATTTTTCACTCTGTCAAACATTTGGCCCATTTCTAATCAATGTTAAGTCAGAGAAATATTCTGATAAGATATTCGGAAAGAGCACAAAAATCTGATTTTAGTTAACTGCTTTTGATTCTCACCAATGACGTTTAGGCAACTGAAAAATGAATAAACATTTTGTCTAAAGACGTTTGCAACAGAGGTTAAAACACATATATAGAACACATATCTAGGAACAGTCGGATTTACAATATATGCATGATCCTCCTGAAGTGTATGCGATACAAGAGACACAATTAATACCGGCCAAGGCCAAATTATAAGCTGTTGTACAGATATAGGAGGTGGATGGATATACAAGACATAAGCAGTACAGTGGTTGTACGAAGTGCCGGATGTAACGAGAAACAAAAAGACAGAAATGTTTCATTACTGCTGCGGCATTTATTTTATTGTGATCACAATGACAAACTGAACGAGTAGCGTTACCGCTATCCTCGGTATACGATGTCCGCTTCACTACTCCATTGCCCAGTTGTGTTGCTCTTTTGTTTTACGTATCTCTATATAGCACTCGCGCTACATCACTCAGTCACGTAAGAAACGAGAAGATAAATATATATACATAGAGGAGTGGTCAATAGTTCACACAAACAGGAGAAAAGCTAAAATATATGAGAAGAGACGGTGCTGACGAACTATCAGCGCATCGAACACTTAAGAGCTGTTGCAAATACGGGAGTTATACACCCACAGTAAGAAAGCAGATAGAAGTGGATGTGAGGTTCATAGTGTTATCCGGTATGCCAAGTGTGACCTTAGATGTAACAACTTCGCTTCAGAGGCTAATGCTTTTCAAGTATACCAAGGAAATATCGACCCAATTACACACTTCGACATCCATTGGAACATATGCGGGTAAAATCTCGCTCTAAGGTCTACCTGCCTAGTGAATTTCCGCAAACATCCTTTGAAATAACCTTTTCAACGAAGTTCTACACCTTTTTATATTTTCAATCTCACTGCAATATTCTTCTACACGTGCTTATTTATATCTTGGTTAGACAAACCCGTACATGCTACATATCGTCAGAGACAACACCTACCTATATTCCAGTCTCGGCGCATCCCGACCTAAGGGTCCACCCGAAGAGCGCCGAGTGCCCGCCTTTGCCTTGATAATGTCGACATAGATCCACCATCTGTACAATCAGAGGGAACCCATACACCTTTATCTTAGTCTCGGCACGTGGTGGCCCAAAGAGCGGCGAGTGGCCGCCTTTACCTTGATAATGTCGACAAAAATCCACCATTTGTACAATCAGAGGGAACCCACACACATTTATCTTAGTCTCGGTGCGTGGTGGCCCGAAGGGCAACCCGAAGAGCGCCGAGTGGCCACCTTTGCTTTGATAATGTCGACACAGATCCACCATCTGCACAATCGGAGGGAACCCACACACCATTATCTCAGTCTCGGCGCGTGGTGGCCCAAAGAGCGCCGAGTGGCCGCCTTTCCTTTGATAATGTCGACACAAATCCACCATCTGTACAATCAGAGGGAACTCACATACCTTTATCTCAGTCTCGGCACGTGGTGCCCCGAAGGGTCACCCGAAGAGCGCCGAGTGACCGCTTGTACCTTGATAATGTCTACAAAGATCCACCATCTGTATAATCGGAGGAAACCCACACACCTTTATCTCAGTCTCGGCGCGTGGTGGCCCGAAGAGCGTCGAGTGGCCGCCTTTGTTTTGATAATGTCGACAAAACTCCACGATCTGTACAATCGGAGGGAACCCACACACCTTTATCTCAGTCTCGGCGCGTGGTGGCCCGAACGGCCACCCGAAGAGCGCCGAGTGGCCCCCTTTGTTTTGATAATGTCGACACAAATCCTTAGTTCAATTATAAATTCGAATTGGAATAAAAATTTATCTTTTACTTTTTTGGCCGTAGTTATATGGTTGTCTTAGTTCAATTATAAATTCGAACTCGAATAAAAGTTTATCTTTTACTTTTTTGGCCGTAGTTATATGGGTGCCTTATTCGAATTATAAATTCGAATTGGAATAAAAAAGGGTGTAGGTGTGGATGTGGGGTGTGGGTGGGTGTGGGTGTGGGTGTGGATGGGTGTGGGTGTGAGTGTGGGTGTGGGTGTGGGCGTATAGGAAGAATATCATGCACACCCACACCAACACCCTAATTTGTTTATGCGTACAAAAAAAAATATCGTTTTTCTTACAAAGTGTAAGAGACTATATAATAAAGATGCGTCACACTATAAATCATGTTCTGTTGTTGTGCAATATCAATCCTCTCTCTTCTTCTCTTACTTATTGTCCATCTTTTTACACATCGTGGTGTTCTTCAAACGTATAACGATGTACTTTTGTGATCAATAAATTGATTTTGCAAGTTTTATGAAAAGCAAGTCGAGAGGTCTCATGCTTGAGTAGCCAATCGAATGAAAAATTAGTAGAATTAGCATCAATTGCTTGAAAAAATGCTGACTATTATTCATTTTAGTCATTAATATCGTCATTGAAGACTATGTAACTTTGAAATGTGTACGATGCGCTTTTGATTGTATACTATCATGAAAGGGAGACACTGCGCTAATTGTAGATTGATCTGTGCATTCAATCGTGGAATTCGAATTAAACTGAAGAGTGAACCATAATTGATGCATGATCGGTTCTAGGATCGAATATTCGAGTTCATAATAAAAGCAAAGTGCAGTGGAGTAAATTGAAATAATTCCATTGACACTCATTACTTCAATATTTTTCTAAACAATCTACAAAATCTCAAAGAAAAAGATTGAGTACATATCTTTCTCACTTTTGTGTGTTACATACGATTTTCTTCTATAATGGCTACTAGTAATTCGACTCGTTCCAGTCTTATTAGCTTGATCGGTTCAAACAAAAAAATTTAAAGACTTTTTATTAGTAGAATCATTTCGATCATGATCTCTTCTATGTTTATATATGGATAATCGATTTGCTAAACATACGGAATTATTTCTATAATGATTGTAAACCTGCAGTATTGCTGAATGGTTAGAGATCATTATTTATGAGTACCATATTTTATCATTGACAACATCCATGTATATTTACCGGCATCCGTTTTTATTCTTCTTCTCTTTCCGATAAATAGTGTGTACATACAGTCAAATGAAAAAAAGTGACATGTTTTTCAATTTATTCATAAGTGACAATTCATGATTCAATCTGAATATAGTTTAAGATGAAGATAGATGAATATTTATTTTGTAATATAGAATAGACATAAAAACAGAATAATTTGAGTGATTGAATTTATGATATTTACTCGAAAAAAAATGAAAATTATGAAACGCTGACATGAACATATGTCTGTCACATTGGTTTCATAGACCACCATTGATAACTTTGTTGACAATATAAAATTTGTAAACTCACACATTCAGATACGAAATGGCACTTCAGATCTCACTGAAAACTATTCATGAGGAACTATGTTCTGTTCTCAACCATTCACCTTCACGTTTCTGAAACGTTGATGAATGAACAAAATAATTTCGACAACGTAAAGAAAATAGTTGAAGATGAAGCACGGCTGGAAAGAACTTCCACCTAGACAATGTTTGATAATATCTAACAGGTTCGTCATCCTATTCATGATGATCTTCATATTGCAATGGACAAGTGTAAGTGAAAACTAAACTAGAGTCATGGTACTACGAGCGAATAATTTATGATAATCTGATACTTAAAAAAACAACAATTGCTGGTTGGATATCCAAATGACTGATTTTCAATGTTTTGGAAGAGTTTGAAGATACAAAAAAAAATTTACAATATTTGAACCACAAATAGGATCCTAATTCGATTTAGTAACAAGTAATGTAATTACTTTCATTTCTTTCACAAAAACAATCAAAGAATCCATGAATTATACATGTACCATAAATAGAAAAACGATACTCATTATAAGAGCTAATATTGATAAACTTAAATCAAATCCTAGTAGTGCATTTTCATCATTGTATATCTTTCTATCACTATTTGAATTCGTACCATGATACCGCCTTCTCTTGAACGTACTGTTACTCCTATTCACAATTATCAATATTTCTAAAAGAGCTGTGACCATGAAATACTGAAAGCAATCATTGATTACGAAATAGAAAGTCGAACAAAATATGATACACAAAAAACAGCTTTATCAACATCCGTTCTTTGCAATGAACAATTTTCTTTCTCCATCTATTTTCATTCGCAAATATATATTCGAACTCCCTTAGTGACGATTTTCTTCGGTGGTTGAAAAGATTTCAATTTCTATAACAAGATGAAACAACGTTTTTGGTTGGTTATAGATTAATAGAAATCTATGAATTAATTTCTTAGATATATCTCCAACCAAAATCAGTCATTAAGCCAAAATGATCAAATGAAAATACACTTTTCATGTATAGATATTGATTATAAAAGGATAAATTGATGAATATATTCGTAGGAGCAGTTCTTGTTTGGAAGCTCAACAGAAGCTTTATTACGAATAATTCGAATTGGAATTGGAATAAAAGGTGAATTCGGAAACATTATTCGATCAAAGATTGTTGAGATCTTTTCATATTGGTGACAAATCAATTCAATTGTGCTAAGGATTTTCATTCGCTTAATATTTTAGGATCAGTGTACACGTTATTTGAACGAAAATGAAAGCTCTTGTATGACATATTTATCCTATGTTATGGATGTAAGTACAGCTAGTATCAGCAACTTCACTCTTAACAGAAACGATGTAAAACGAAATCTGTTTTTTTTTCAAGATTATTTTTTCTTTCAATCAAATATATTTCACTCTATATCATTGAATATTAAGAAAATCTTTTCGTAAACAATATTTAACAGATGTTTTTAAAGGAATATCTATAATCGCTTCTTAAACATCTTTCATATTCCATTGTATATCGTCATCAAAGTCATTTTTTAGAAACAAAAGCAATTATTCATCACAACCACATGAATGATTCCGTATATTTTTAACAAAGTCTTTCTCTTTTGATTCCAAATAATAAATTAATGAATGGTCGTAGAATAAAATTCTGATGCTTTCTTTGTTATATGAGATAGATTTCCGTTATTGATCTAGTATATGACAAAATTAAAAGCAAAATGTAGAAGATTTTTTTTCGATCATTGCAGTGAGTATTTTTAAAATTAATCACTAGAAAGAAACATTTAGGTAACAAATTATATGTTCTGATAATGAAAATAATGATTCACATTCTATCAAGTTGGGTAATTTCATTGATAATTATGAATTAGATACTGTTGCTGCATGGATGACTCGATCGATGTCAGTTATCAGCAAGACTTTAATTACAAAGAATAAGTTAAACCATTACAATTTATGTTTTCCTACGTTTTTTAACAAAATGATGAATTTTGTCTAGCATTATTTTTTTATGTAGTTATTGTTCAGTTCATTTTTATACCTCGAGGTTCGAAGTTTTGTTTTTTATTTACAGATTTCTAGACTTCTAGCTATTTAATCGATCGTTGTCCGACAAAACCCAACCCTTCACTTCCTCGCAGTGTCGGATGGAAACGTCGTTTTACGACGGCTAAGATGGGCTCTGGTAAGCATCTCAGGGCTAGTCACCCGAGGTGACCTTTACAATGACTCCGAAAACAACAATCGAAGAACCCATTCCGGGCAACAGTCTTTCGTCTCGTCGCATGCATGCAAGGATTTTTGAAAAATCCGAGCCTATGATAAGGCAGGTACCTGTCTTTGAGAAAGCATCGGCGACTCGAACAAACACAAACAAAAACAAAAACAAAAATACAAAAAACACAAAAATTCACCACAAGGCCATCACAATATCCACCTACAACGTGCGTACTCTCAAACAAACTGGAAAACTACATCAACTTATATATGGATGCAATAAAAACAACATTGACATGGTAGCAATTCAAGAACATCGTTGGCAAACATCAGAACAAGTCAATACGTGCTATACAATACTCAATGATCAAATCTGGCGCTTTGAATACTCTTCAGCAACTTCAGACGGACAAGGTGGCATCGGATTACTTATAAATCCCAGAATGTCAGCATTTTTCAACTCATCGGAAAAGATATCAAATCGTATTATGATGGTGCACTTTAATGGTAATCCAGCAATAACAATCATCATTGCACATGCGCCTACGGAAGACAAAAGTGATATCGAAAAAGACAATTTTTACAACGACCTACAACAATGCACGCTCGACGTTCCTCCACACAACGTCCTGATTCTTGCTGGTGATCTCAACGCAAGAATAGGAACGGACAGTCACAAAACAAATCCACGAACAATTGGTAGATACACATACCACCAACTAACCGACGACAACGGCAACCGACTTATCAACTACTGTGAAACTTGCAACATACGATCAACACAAACACGGTTTCCACAGCCAAAGTCAAGATCATGGACCTGGCTACACCCAAATGGCAAATCCAAAGCTCAAATTGATCACATACTCATAAACGGGAAATGGTTAAACTCAATTCGAAATGTACGCGCGTATAACACAGTTGAATTGAACTCCGACCATCGCATTGTTAGCGCTAAATTATCAATCAGTCTCCGAGCCCCGAAACAAAACAAAAACAAAAGGATCAAATTTGACTGGAGCAAACTCAAGACCAACTCCGTACTACAAGCCCAATTCAACATCGAAGTACAAAATCGATACGAAATTCTACAAAACATCAACACAGACAACGACATCCAAACAAAATACGACAATTTCGTAACTAGTATACAAGACACAACAGAAAAACTCATTGGAAAAACATCTCGGAAAAAACGAAAAAATTGGGTTTCAACTACTACTATCGATCTTCTGAAAAAACGAAACAGCGCCAAATCCAAATTCAAACAACAAACAAGCATAGAAAATAAAAACCATTGGCATAAACTTAACGAACAGCTCGACGAATCGTACAAAAACGACAAAATCAACTTTTTAGAAGATAAACTAGAACAACTCAAACAAGCGATGGTATCAAATCATCTAAGAACAACATGGTGTCTGATTGGCGAAATCAGTGGCAAACGATCAAGCTACAGCACCTCAAAAATCAAACGAAAAGATGGTACAAAAATTAACTCAACCAATGAACTCATGCAAGAATGGAAAACATATTTTGAAGAATTACTTAACATTAAAACAAACATTAATCTAAATACTCAAGCAATACCACCAGCTCCCAAAGACCTACCAATCAATCAAGGTCCAATAACAATCAACGAAGTAGAACAAGCAATAAAACAATTAAAAGACGGAAAATCTCCTGGACTTGACTATTCAATAACACCTGAAATACTGAAATATGGTGGCAAATGGATAATGAGTCAACTTTGTAATATATGCAATGAAATCTACAACAACAAACAAACACCAAAACAATTCAACACCAACATCATAATACCAATACCAAAAAAAGGCGACAAAACGCTTACGACGAACTACAGAGGCATTAGTCTCATGTCAGTCGCAGCTAAAACCTATAACAGAATCCTGTTAAACAGAATAAGAGAACCACTCGACTCGATTCTAAGGGTAAACCAGGCAGGTTTCAGGAAAGGGAGAAGCTGCATTGATCAGATTCATGTCATACGTAGAATTCTAGAAAGCGCAATCGATAAACAACTTCCAATCTACATAACTTTCGTAGATTTCAAAAAAGCCTTTGACTCAATCAACAGGCAAACAATGTTCAACATCTTAAGGCATTATGGGGTACCTACTAAAATAGTAGGTGCAATTGAAGCCATATATCATAATACCAAAAGCGTAGTTCTGGTAGACGGCAGCATCTCTGAAGAATTCGATGTCACGACTGGTGTCTTGCAAGGAGACACCTTAGCACCATTCCTTTTCACAATAGTGATCGACTATGTAATGAAAAATGCTCAATTAGATCACACAAATGAAAAAGGAGAACATGGCTTCGTAACAAACAAGAGACAATCCAGCCGACAACCACCAACATGTATACATGACCTTGACTTCGCAGATGACATAGCTCTCCTGGAAAACAGTTTTGATAGAGCACAATTACAGCTCGTTCAAACAGCGAAAAGGGCCAGCGAAGTGGGTCTACAAATCAACATCAAGAAAACTCAAGCATTAACTAACCAAAACACAAACAATCAAGCAATACAACTTGATGGACAAAATATTGAATGGGTCGACAATTTCAAATACCTCGGCTCAATGATGTTATCTACCACCACAGACATTAAAGTACGGAAAGGTCAAGCATGGAAAGCCTTTTGGAAATTGAAAAGCATATGGAAATCAACAACAATACCAATCAAACTCAAAATTAATATATTCAAAACATCATGTCTTTCAATATTATTATATGGATGTGAAACTTGGATAATTACAAACAAGCTCGAAAGCAGCTTAAATAGTTTCGCTACTAGCTGTTATAGGATCATGCTGGGCATCAAAAGAACAGATAAGATCAAAAACAACACCATATACGAAACAATCAAAGAAGAACCTTTAACACAAACAATACAACGACGACAACTACGCTTCATTGGTCACTGTCTTCGCCGTAATACAAACGAATTTATTAACATGTATGCTCTGTACACACCAAAATCTGGCCATGGAACACGAAAACGTGGTCGTCCACGTCTAAACTATCCTGATTACGTCGCAAGACTGATCAACAACGACACACCACCAACGATCGAAGAAATCCGGAAGACTGCTGTCAACAGAGAAAAATGGCGTAAGATTGTTGTCGCCTGCAAACCCAGATTGTTTGCAGTCGAATGATGAATCGATCGTTAGCTTCAGTTGTTGAGAAATTTTTTGTACTTGTTTCAATGAAACTTTTTATCTATTACTTTCTTTTTCTATTCTTGTTATTTAACAAATAACAATCAGAAACAGAAAGATAAATAGTGGATTGTTTCACAATTGGTATTGTTATTATTCAATTCTATTGCTATATACTAAATAAGAAGAATACAGAAAAAGTACAAGAAACATCTGTTTCGTACCTATTTTGAATGTGGATAAGAAGAGACATACAAAAACTTCAGGATTCAGAATGCATTAGTTTTCATGGCAAGCTCAATCGTCTAAAATAGCTTTTCATGCTATACAGCATGTAGTAGTGAAAACAAGTAGGAGTAAACCAAAGTTTTTCTAAAAAAAGGACTGCGAATTAGGTCTCATAGTTATAAAACTTGATATTGTATCGATTGATATTAACTGCAAATTGGATGATATCGAGAGGTTGTCAGAGTGTTTTTATCAGTATTCGAGTGAAAATATTTAAAAAATAGTTTTGAACAAACGATTATCAAATGTATGCAAAATGTGAAAGTTGGATTGTTGCCACAAATCGGTAGTCACGTGGGCGCCTATCCAAGACTTAGTCTTGAGTGAGTCCACTAGATTAACCTCGGTTCTGTAGCTGCTTCTGAGTGATTATCCACCATGTTCAACTATATTTTCCCTTGTGTCTTTCACTGTTCGTCTGAATTCATGCAACCCTATTCACTTTAGATCTAGTAACACTATCTCTTCTGCATGTGAGTTGTCTCTGTCACAATATGCATCACTTGCAGTTCTTTTATCTAGCGAGAATGACATTAAAAAATGAACGTTCTCGAAAACCATTGTTTTTAATATGGATTTAATTATTTTTATGTAACAAATTTTTATTATTAAGAACTATTCTTATATATACTAAGCCATAGACGAGTCATTAAAAAGTGCTGAGACTCATCTATTAACAGTTGGATACAAGACATAGGTCAACATAATTAAAACTTTTACTTTCGCTTTATTATGATGGAATTTCTCAAACTTTGAGTCAAACTTATCCGTGAATAGAGCTTTTCAATCTCTTTCATTCCATCTCTGTAGAAATTCGTTTTTGATTACGTAGTCAATAAGAAAATTCTCTTTCATGTGTTTCACTCTGCTGAAACATCATTTTGGTAAAGATTTTGTCGTAGAAAGTAATACTGCGTCAGTAAGGGTTCTGAAGTATTTTTTAATGAAAATCTTTCAAAATTTATCTTTTAGATACAATACTTTTAACTCCATCCAAATATGTATTCAAGTCATGGCATGAAGGCATTGAAATGGTTACAATTGCTGAATAAAATTTTTCAGCTAACGCAACGAGTCTTTTTATGGAAAATAGAAAGAATACTCTTGCATAGCATCAATCAACTATCCCCCTGGAAAAAAAATAGCGTCACACGATATTCTTGATATATCATCATTATAAATTAACATTTTGAGAAACGTAATTATATATTCGGATAGCCCGTGAAATTCCCTATAAATCTATATATGTACCTTTTTGAATTGCACTTGTTCGCTAAAAATAGATTCAAGCCCAGTAAAGGCACCCTCATCCTCATATTCCCAGAAAAAATGTTTTTTTTTGTTTATTTTCATTTATTTTTCAAATATATTTTTAATATAGGAACATGTTATTACAAAAGTAAGTATATATTCTGAAAGCGCATGAAATTCTCTATCATCCTATATATTTATGTCTTTTCTTGCATTTATTCACTGCAGAAAAGAAATGCAAGACAAGACATAAATATATAGGTTGGTAGAGAATTTCACGGGCTTTCAGAATATATACGTACTTTTGTAATAACTTGTTCATATATTAAAAATATTTTTGAAAAAATGGATGAAGAAACAAAAATGCATTTCCAGGGAATCTGGTGATGAGGGTGCCTTTGTTGTATTTGAATTTAGTTTTAGCAAACAAGTGCAATTCAAAATGTATGTATATAGATTTGTAGAGAATTTCACAGGCTATCCGAATATATAATTACTTTTCTCAAAATGTTAATTTATAATGATGATATATCAAGAATATCGTGTGATACTATTTTTTTCCAGGGGGATATATAAACAGCTTTTTGCTTCATGTATATACTTCAAACGTTCTTTTTTCAAACAAAAGATAACGTCGAGTGTCAATGCGATGGTACATTGTTGATAAATAAATTTTAACATTCTTCTAGAGACTTTTACGTCTTTTATTAGTAAAAAGAAAAATATCAAATACATATCAATAGAAACGAGACAAATGTATTTTTTATTCATCAACTTGTGATTCGATTATCATCTTCGAGGAGATGATTGTGCAGATTATTTCGCAATATAAAATTATTATTAACTTCTTCTCTTGACGAATGTTTTCATTTGATTTGTGACAGAAAATAATTCTCTTAACTGAACGCGGATAAATTTTTATAGGTAAATAATCATTAATTTATTTTACTAAAATATACATCCAATCATGACTGTACTTTTAATATAACGTCATTTCACGTTGCATGAAGTGAAATATTGACAAAAGCTGGTTTCTAAGGATAATCATTTTTTCTGAAATGCGAAAAATAAAAATGTAATAGAATTTTGGCAGTATTACAGGAACAAGATCGGTGAGAGGAATTACCAGAGACGAGACCGAAAAGTATCTTCAACGTACTTTGAGAATAACAAAAGAATTTCTTAAAATTTGAAGTTCGGATTGAAAAATAAGTAAATCATCGAGTTACTTCTGATACATTCTGTTGTTAGTATTACACGTGCACACTTTTCATTATGTATATGCTGCGTGTATGTGACACAGTCATAGATATTTATATCTATCTTATCTGTCTGACGTAAACACTACTTCAAAATCTTCTTTTGGTGTGTTGAGATTGCACTTTCTTTTTCTCTTTTAAGTCAAACTGATAAATTTCATTGATCCATACTCTCATCATCTACACTTGCAAATTCAACAATGGGCAGAGTAAATGAGATATTTTTAACATTTCTGCATATTCAAATTGTTCTTTGGTGTTGGATACCGTCTACGATATCGATAAAAATCAGCCCTTGCGCAAGATGGAATACAACAGGTGAAATAGTGGCTGGTCTCGGTGGAAGAGGCAACAATCTCGATCAACTTCTTAATCCTGAAGGAATTTTTATTCATAGACAAACCAACAAATTATATGTGTCTGACACTGGTAATAACCGCATTCAAGTTTTTACACTTAATCAGCTATCGAGCATGGGTACCACCGTGATATTTAATGTCACATATCTTACAAAGATCTATGTTGATGATGACAACGATGAGAAAACTATTTATGTCTCTGTTCGAAACGAAGACCGCGTCAAAAATGGGTTAAAGGAGCATCAGACGGCGTGGAAGTCGGAGGTGAATGTTTGATGTGTGAAAGCGTATGGGTCGACAATGAGAAAAATGTTTATATGACATCAGTGACGAGACATTGTGTGTATAAGTGGTCACCACAAACAAATATTATAACGATCGTCGATGCACGGTATATGTGGCTGATTATGCAAATCATCGCATTCAGAAATGGTTAAAAAATGCTCTTAATGGTACTACTGGGGCTGGGTTTAGCACGGGCGATGAAGGCAGTGATGCTGAATCGTTGTCGTATCCAACTGCTGTATGGGTCGATGATGAAGCCCAAGTTGTGTATGTAGCAGATTCATCCAATAATCGAATTCAACGTTGGTTACCAAATGCACTCATAGATGATACCGTTGCAGGTGGAGCAGGTATAGAAGTAGAACTTTTACTAGTTTTGCCTGACTTTTCGATCAGACATTGAAAAAATATTGTATTTTGCATTGTGTCAATTGTATTCGTTTCAAACAGCTCAAACATGAAAATCGAGTGAAAGATAGACTAATATTTTCAATGAAGAAGCAATTTTGAGATTTCGATGTGATGAACTGAGAGCAAAGGTGAATGACTATAATAATGTATAGCTTTTATTCTCATCCGCATTTAATCAATCTTGAGATTCATTGATAAATGTTTCCAGTAATTTTAACAGTTTTCGATTTTCGGGCACGACTTAAAAATTTTTATTCAGTGTTATAGAGGAAAAAGTATTTGAATCATTATCGCTCTCTGAGAACATTTCATTATAGGTTGGTGTGACGAATCTAATCAATTTGATCAGAGTGTCGATTTGGCATTTGACAACGATGGCAACCTCTATGTGTGCGACCGCATGAACGATCGTGTTGTCAAATTTACAATTATTCACAACGAGCCATGTTTTCCAGTGCCAACAACTAGTTCAGGTTCTTTATCTTTAATATTTTCAGTGCATTTTTATTTATTTTGCAAGTTTATCATAATTAAGTATGTGACAGTTTCCGCGAGCTGGAGAGGATCATCAGTTCTTTCCTAGGCTTATCCAATGGAAGTACTCATAAGTCTTCAAGGCCTATATGGGATGAGGGGGAGGGGTGTGAGGGTAAGTCATTTTTCCAATTAAAACCAGCCTCACACCGACACTAAATCTTAGCTTTGTATTAACTACAAACGTTGGGAATCTGTATTTCAACTGTTGTATGTATTGTCATGATTCGTGAGAAATTTCGATAATTGTGAGAAATCGACAATATAGTTCAACTTTTAGTGAAGCTTTGATATCAAGTTATCACACTTTTATTGTGCATGCTAGAGGAATAATAAAAGTATCTGCTTATATAGTCTTAGCGATATTGTCGCAATGCAAATCATGCTCCAGCATAAGGACTCAAGTATATTGAGTCTTGGGACAATTTTTGTTTTCGTTTAGCGTTCATTCCTAAATGTATACGGCAAGTGTTCGAGAAAAATCAATTTAGCACGCTAAATCAGTAGAACTGATGTGAGTCAAATAATTAAAAACACAGATGCTATCCTTCGAAATGCTCAGATGTTTCGGTCATCTCATTCGATGGATGCGAATTCTGGTGCTTTTGTCGAGATAGATCAAGAAAATTTAGAAAAGAATATTAGAAGAGAACAAAAACTGTTTGGGTACTCAGGCATTTTGAGTACTTATATTTCGATACATTTAGCTTCAGTTTATGGTCGCCAAGAGTATGTAGACAAATGCCGGTATTATTTAGATGTTTTGAGAATGAAATTTCAGTAGCAATTGTTTTCAATGCAGCATCAGTTATTCACTTTCCAGAGCTGAAAACTATAACCTTCTAGCTGCGTTCTTTCTACGGTCATTGAATTTACAATGGAATTCATTCATTCTACGGATTGACAGTAAGTATCTTGACAACTTTACAATAATATTTCTTTTACTAGTTTCTTTGAACAATTCATTTAGTAAATAGTCTTCTTCAGTCCGTTCTTGAATGCATTCTAATATTCATTGTCTTCAATTCTTTTAGTCACAAATCTACCTTCAGTGCTGTCAAAATATTCGAGTGCACTAATGCCAAATAGCCCACAGTTTTCTCGGCCCAATGGTAATATTCAAGATTACTACTACTATCAAGCTATTCGAGTTACTGTGGCCACAAGTGAAACTTACTCTTTTGAAAGTGTATCTGGTATCAGCACTATGGGCTATTTGTACGACACATATTTTGATCCGTCAAATTCCTTGGCAAATATCATCGTCTCTAGTGATAATGGTAGCACACAAAGAGCGTTTCGTATCAGCTCTCTTCTTTCATCTGCCCGTACATATATTTTGGTTGTCACCACGTTTCAAGCATCTGTCACGGGAGATTTTTGGATATTAGTTCATGGTCCAGCTTTGGTCGGTCTTACATCAATTACACCACCAACTGGTAAGTTAGTTAAGATTTAATAGATCTCTACTTCGCTCAGCACTTCATCAGAAAAGCAATTTTTCTTCGTATGTGAAATTACTCTATGTTTTATTATTGTGTTGATGCTAGTTGTGAGAAGACATTCATTTGTAAATAGATTCGGGTCCCGAAATTTACACCAACACAGATTCTTCGATGTTTTTTAATTGATACCATACAGATTTTCGCACAATATGTGTTTCTGATTGACATGCGCAGTTTTTGGTTGGTTCTTCTGATCTTGTCCATGATTTGTACTTCTCTTTGAATTGTTTTAAATGACACTGGAATCACGACAGGTCTTGCTTGTATCACAATATTTGTCAGGCTTTATTTTTACTATATTTTCTAAATATTTGTTTTTCACTTTTTAAAATCAATGCAGGTTTGCTGACAACAAAAATTACGCTATTTCTTTGTAATATCTGTTAATGATCTTTGAGTAAACGCTTTCGAGAATAAAATATACTCTGTTGCTAATAGAAACATAATC